TTCTCTGCTCTTTTCTCCTCTTTTCGTATCTCTCTCTCTCTCTCTCTCTCTCTCTCTCTCTCTCTCTCTCTCTCTCTCTCTCTTTCATTCTGCACAGATCTGTGTGAGGGCAGATCTGTGTGTCTCTCCCCACCCCACCCCCACAGCTAGCAATCCAAAACAGGCCTGTGGCACCTTTAAGACCAAGTTTTATTCCGGTACAAACTCCCCCTCCTCTGCGAGGGCAGATCATCATGTCCTCCCCCCCCATAGCTAGCAATCCAAAACAGTCCAGTGGAGCCTGAGCAGTGGCTGTTGCCTTCTGACACACTTCCGGTGATGTCAAGGGGGTGTGACATATGCAAACAAGTTATGCTAATGAGTTATGCTAATGAGCTCCTGCACCTCTTTTTCTACAAAATGACCCCTGGATAGATCCATCAATGGCTACTTGTCACAGTAAGAAACTGGAACTTCCATGTACACAGGCAGCAAACACCTGACTACTGGTGCTAGGAGGCAGCATCAGGGGAATGCTGTGGCCTGCATGCCCTGCTTGTTGGCCCTCTAGGTGTGACCACGGGGAGGGTGGGGTATAAATCGAATAAATAAATAAATAGATGGACCACCGGTCCAACCCAGCAGGGCTCTTCTTATGTTCTTATGCTTGATCTCCCCTTGGTTCAGAAGGAGAGGAAGCCATGGATCAGTGGTAGAGCATCAGCTTTGCATGCAGTAAGATCCCAATCAGCTACTGAATCTCTCACGCAAAACAATCTCAGCAAGGTGGTGTAAAGACCCACAGCCTGTGAAAGCCAACAGGGCAAGACTAGATGAAGTCTGGTTTGGTACAAGGTAGTTCTCTATACTAGTACCTTCTGTGGACTTGAGGGCAGCTGTCTGCAGTCATTTGAAAAGGTACCCACACATCTGGAATCTGAGCATGTGGGTCAGAGAGGAATTTGTTTATTTCTCGCATTCATATTGTGCAACATCTTCCAATGGACTCCAGGCAGCATATGTGGTAGTCCTATGTTCATACAAAAGTCCTGCAGGACTGGTTAGGCAGAGAGAGGGTGTGTCTGATGCCAGGTGAAAAGTACTGGAGTTCCAGGCGTAGTATGGTGAAATCAGCTCACGTTTATTGATTACATGGGAAAACAAAAGATAAAGTAGCCAGTCCGCAGCCGGCTTATAGTCTAGTCTACACACACACCCAACACCACCACCCCGATGCCCATGATAGGTTCAATGCACATGTCCTCATTCCCCATAGGTTCCTATCCATATCCATACGAACCTGTTGGTCCACGCTAGGATCCAAGCTGGCTATTGTTCTAGAACCAAAGGTCAGAAGGCCTGTAGGACCGCATAGTCGGGCCCACGCAGTAGTGGCCATCTTAATACACAACACCGCTCAGTTAGTGAGCTTCAGTGGCTGAGAGACAGACTTACTATATGCCCACTTGTGGTGGGAGATCTCCCACTGCCCACCTTTGCTGCCCACTGCCTCTCAGCTGGGCAGTGGGGGAAAACTGGCCGGCAAAAAGTCCCCTGCACAATCATGCAGCTTCCAGCATGACCTGGAAGTGATGACATCATGCCAGAGTCAATGCTCTAGCATTTCCCCAAAACCTCTGTAGAGTTCTGGACAAATACCAGAGCATCACCCACGACACAATGATGTCACTTCCAGGTCACTCTGGAAATTATATCATCACACAGGGACAACTATTGTGGCCCTTCAATAAGTTCCCATCTCTCCCCCCCCCCCCCATCTCTTGCGGTCACACGGAGCATTAGGCACGCTAGAGAGACAGAAGATAGGTGGATTTTCCAGGCGCGAGCCCACCGCCACATCTGGGAAGCGTAGAGCTCCCGTGGCGAACCCGAGGCTTCCCGCCGAAGACGCACGGTTAAAAACTAGTACCTCGTACGGAGGTACTAGTTTCCGGTAACCGCAAGGCAAGGGTGGGCGTCTGATCGCGTTTCCGGTGGTAGTTCCGGCGCCCGCCCATGCCCCCTCATATAAAGGTGTTTTTTGTAACTGTCCATGGGATGCGCACAAGCACCCAACGGGGCATGCGCACACTTTGGTGTCCGGAAAACAAAACACCCGTTTGCCACGCCGCTTCTTTGCCGCGGCACAGGATTGTGGTGTGCTCGGCACCTCCCCCCTTCCACGGGACCTCCACGGTACGTCTGCTGGCGCAACCACGCGTTATTTTGCCCTGGGGCAAACAACCACGCCTCCCCCCCGCGATATCCAGCCCGTGTGACTGGGGCCTGAGAGGGGATTTGAACTCAATTCTATTCCAGTCCAAATCTACCCATTGGTGCATCAGAAAGCGATGGGGCTTTCTAGCATACCTATAGCCTCACTGCTCGTATTTCAGCTTTTTTTGGGGGGGAGCATTCAGCTGACTACGGACTGGGACAGCAAATTGGGCAAAGAGCTGGGGTGGGGTGGTAGGGGTTAGGATGTTGGAGAAATTGGCCGATACGGTGCTGCCTATGAAAGAGAGATATATAATAATGGCTGAGAGATGCAGGGATTGAGGAGATAGCTAGCTCCCTCTGGTGGCTCGAGAGGAAAAGGTTGAGGGTGCTGCTAACCGAACCTGACTTGCTAGCTCCACAGGGAAAAAGTCAGGATGTGCAGTGGGTATGTTGGAGTGAGTAGATGAGCAGGAGGAAGCAGAAACCTGTGCTCCTCTCATTCCACCCTCCCTGCTGCCCAGGAATGTTGACAGTGACACATTTAAATTCCTAAAAGATGATGATGAAAAGTCATCCTCTGTGTTTCGCTGCAGCTACAACCCGTTTGATGGACCAAATGAAAACCCAGAAGCGGAGCTCCCCCTCACAGCAGGAAAATACCTCTATGTCTATGGAGACATGGATGAAGATGGCTTCTATGAAGGTTCGCCCGGCATTGCTTTTTGTTTTCTCTTTTCAGCCAGTTAGGACTTAAGGCCTGGTTTGCAAATGCAGCCCGGAAGGAGACGGCGAACCCTAGGAACTGGTAAAATGAACTTCAGATTGCAGGTGGTGGATTTTAACTTTGAATGTTCACTTTCATTTAAAACTCCCTGCATGCCCAAGTTTCTCTCTGCTTGCTGAGCTGGTTTGCAGACAGCACACACAGCCCCTATCCCTTTAGCAAAACATCTTTCTGAACTATTTTGTTACAGTACAGCCCCATTAACTGTGTTAGAAAAGTACTCCTGAATAAAGAAAGCCAGGAGGGTTGGACTTTTTTCCTGACTTCGTCTTGGTGTACTGGTTAAGAGCGGCAGACTCTGGGGAACCAGGTTCAATTCCCCACTCCTCCACATGCAGCCAGCTGGGTGACCTTGGGCCAGTCACAGTTCTCTCAGAGCTCTCTCAGCCCCATTGACCTCACAGGGTGCCTGTTGTGGGGAGAGGAAGGGAAGGCGTTTGTAAGCTGCTCTGAGACTCCTTCAGGTAGTGAAGAACAGGATATAAAAACCAGCTCTTCTTCTTCATCCGGCAGGCCATTCTATGAGGTGGGGATCACAACAAAGATTGTGTGCCTTACTTTACATTTTAGGAGATTTGGGCGACTTATTTCCCCTGAGTCTGGTAAAGCTGCTTTTTCCCTTGGTCTTTTGGTCTCTGTTCTCTGGGTATAAAAACAAGGGAGATGACTTTTGCTTCCCCCTTGTCTATGTTCTGGTGTTTCCGGAGGCCCTAGACCAGGGATCCCCCCCAACGTTTTGGGCCCGTGGGCACCTTTCAGATTCTGACAAAGGGCAGTGGGCACAATCACAAAACGGTCACCACAGGAGGTGGAGCCAATCACAAAATGTCTGCTGCAGGAGGCAGGGCCAAGCCCAGAATGTCACTTCAACATTTCAGGCAGAAGCTTTGCTTAATAGGATACCTTTCAATCTGCACAGCCAATCAGAAGCCCTTCTGGGGAAAAGCCCCACCTAGCCCCACCCACTCTCTAAAAGTACTTGGTGGGCATCAGGAAAGGTATTGGCGGCTGCCAAGGCATTCACAGGCAGCATGTTGGGGACCCCTGCTCTAAACAACTACAAGGATGTTAGCATAACATTGATTACATGCTCACTGGTTAGACGAAAATCCAATATGTGTGTGTGTGTTGTAGATTATGGTTTGGTTTTGACCACTGGTGCAACCTTCCACTCATCTGGTATCCTTTCCCACTAGGTGAACTTCTAGATGGACAGAGAGGTCTGGTCCCTTCCAACTTTGTGGATTTTGTTCAAGACAACGAATCCCGTTTGTCGAGTGGGTTGGCCAGCGAGCAGGACCAGAACTACATCAACCACACTGGTCACACGTTGGAAGGAGACGGTCTTCTGGAGATCAACCCACCGAGCCACTTAGAATCCAGCGTCGTCAATAACGGTTCCGGGACTCTGGATGTGAACATTGACGAAATCGGAGAAGACATTGTGCCTTATCCTAGAAAAATTACCCTTATCAAACAACTAGCCAAAAGTGTTATTGTGGGCTGGGAGCCTCCAGTTGTGCCACCTGGATGGGGAACCATTCATAGCTACAACGTCCTAGTAGACAAAGAGATACGGATGAACGTATCCCTGGGGAGCAGAACTAAAGCTCTCATAGAAAAACTTAACATTGCGACTTGCACGTATCGAATATCAGTTCAGAGCATCACGAGCCGGGGAAACTCTGACGAGCTGCAGTGCACTTTGTTGGTTGGGAAGGATGTCATTGTGGCTCCATCTCACCTGAAGGTGGACAACGTAACGCAAATCTCTGCTGAGCTCTCCTGGCTCCCGACCAACAGCAATTACAGCCACGTGATCTTTCTCAATGAAGAAGAGTTTGACATTGTCAAGGCTGCCCGATACAAGTACCAGTTTTTTAACCTGAAGCCTAACATGCCCTACAAGGTGAAGGTATTGGCCAAGCCTCACCAAATGCCCTGGCAACTCCCTCTGGAGCAGCGGGAAAAAAAAGAAGCCTTTGTCGAATTCTCAACATTGCCTGCAGGTTGGCTCCTTTTTGCTAGTGTGGTATTGTTGAGTGCTTGCTGGATGACAAGCAACCATACTTTAAATCTGATGGACTCACTTAAAATACAATTGTTATCATCAACATCTCTGAACAGTTGTCAAGCTAGTTGTACAAGGTAGTATTTCTATCTTCACCACCGTTTTAGTTGATGGAACTGGTCACCTGGATCCCTCTAAACAACCAAGGTTTACTATTTGGGCTAAGTAATATTTATGTTTAGTGGAGTATCTCAAGAATTCCAAGGGTATAGCTATGTTGGTTGGTTGGTGGCAGCCCTATGAAACTGGAGACTCGAGGCCCTTAAAAGACTAACAAATTTATTGTGCCATAATCTTATGCACGGGAGGGAAGGTGGCATGGTATAGCCCGATCTCATCAGATCATGGTATAGCCCAATCTCATCAGGTCTCTGGAGCTAAACAGGGTCAATACTTGGAAGGGAGACCACCAAAGAAGGCTCTGCAGAGGAAGCCAATGGTGAACTACCTTGAAAGCCCCTTGCTGGGGTCACCAGAAGTCAGCTGTGATTTGATAGCACTTTACGCACACAATCTTCTGTGCAATAGAGCCCATTTCTTTTGCAGGCTTTAAAGGAGACGCTTGAGAAAAAGCCAGTATTAAGAGTGTAATGGTGGACAGGTGTGGGGGAAATGATGAATGAAAAACCCAAGGCAGGCAGAAGACTTTCAGAGGACAGAAAGGGTGCACATGAGGTTTTAAATGAGAAATGCGTATTCTAGAAACCATAGACCAAAGTTTGTCATTACAGCACTGAGCACTGAAAGTCCTTGGGTTCATGTACTCCTCTTGCACAAGACTCAGAGGTTGCATACTTCCCGTTTCCTGATGAACTAGTTTGTCATGACAGCCAGATTATCAGTGAAACTACAAGAGGTGGTTTGACTACAGACTGGCATTCCAGACCATGGTTTAATGCTGGTTTGTAACTCTGGTTTGTAGGTCTGAGGACAAACCGCAGTTTGCTGTTTCATCCAATTCGGACATGACAAAAAGCTATGATTTCTTAGGAACCCAGAAACCTTCAGGATCTGGTCTGCACTGTAGGAGAAGCAGAAGGGAGCCCGTGCTCCAGAGGGATTTCAGAGGCTCATTCCTGTAATGGCAAACCATGGCTTGTTGCTATGTCTGAATTAGATCCATGCTGTTATAAGACAGACATATTCACTTGGGAAACACACCCCCAGGTGGTCACTGAATGCTGGGTTTACAATAAGCAATCCTGCCCTATGCTAGCTGGGCTGAGAGTCTTCAGGGCATAAGAACATAAAAGCCCTGCTGGATCAAACCAGTGGTCCATCTAGTCCAGCATCCTGTCTCAAACAGTGGCCAACAACTCCGGAAGGCCATCAGCAAGGCATAGAAGCTGAGGCCACCGCTGATGTTGCCTCCTGGCATTGGGATTCAGAGGCTAGCCTTTAGGCACCATGGCTAGCAGCCACTGATAGACCTATCCTCCATGAATCTGTCCAATCCCCATTTAAATCCATCAGTGCTTGTGACCATTACTATATCCTCTGGCAGCGAGCAAGGCTTGGATGCTGCAAGTGTCAACCTGCCAATCAATCGAGATTCATAGCGTGCACAGCCCAGAGCGCTAGTTTATTTACCCTGTGCTGTATAAACATAGATAGATATTGTCCACCATGCACATCTGCAAGGCTGCTTCTGTTTATAGGTCATCTCATCCCTTGTTAAATTAAAGCTAAGCACGTTGTCCTGGGAAACAGCCTTCCTTTCTTCCTAAGAGTAAAATGAGCAGCAACCCTGGTGTATATTGGCCAACTAGAACCATGCATACTGCCAGCTGCAAAATGAGTCTATTCTTTTCCCTCAGTCTTAAGCAGTTAAATCAGTTTGGCAATGGAAACGTGAAGTTGTTGGGGGGTGGTCCCTGTAAGAGGAACTGATTGTTGAAAGAAAGACAAGGGGGCGGTTCTCTGGAAAGGGCAATCCTTTCTCCCTGAAAGCTTTTTTTAGCTTTAGAAAAGAGCAAGAGCCCAGCAGCACCTTAGAGAGTAACCAAATTTGTGGCAGGGTATGAGCTTTCGTGATAATCTGCACATAGCAGCAGGGCTGTGGTGGCTCAAGTGGTTAAGACGCTGAACTGCAGACCAGAAGGTCGGTAGTTCAGCAGTTCGAGGCCCAAGTGCCGCATGATGGAGTGAGCTCCCGTCTCTGGTCCCAGTTCCTGCCAACCTAGCAGTTTGAAAGCAAGAAATTGCAAGTAGATAAATAGGTACCACTTTGGTGGGAAGGTAACAGCGTTCCGTGCACCTCGGCGTCTAGTTGTGCCAGCCACATGACCACGGAAACGTCTTCGGACAGCGCTGGCTCTTCGGCTTGGAAACAGAGATGAGCACCACATCCCTAGAGTCAGATTTGACTGGCTTTTGAGCAAGGGAAACCTTTACCTTTATCTAGCAGTAGAAAAGAGCAAGAGTCCAGTGACTGAAGTGAGCAGTGACTCACAAAAGCTCATCCCCTGCCACAAATTTGGTTAATCTGTAAGGTGCTGCTGGACTCTTGATCTTTTCTATTGCTATAGGCAGACCAACATGAATACCCATCTTGATCTTTTTTTTAGCTTGTTCAATTTCACCAGGACGTTGCCAAACATGTGACCAAGCTCATGAATTATACATGAGCCTCAATAATGGAAGAGCTATTTTGAGGTCAGGTTCCCATCCAGCACAGTGCCATTTATAGCAAATCTGTTTTAATTAGAGAGGTAGCAAGCGTGCTCGCATGATAACAGGTTTTCAGGCCCTTGAAACGGAAGGTTTCCCCCCCGCCCCCCGCTCAGTTATTTTTGCTGCATGGAGTCGAGGTTTTGGAATGGGTCCATGTTTTCCCCCAAGGCTTGGGGAATGGCGCTGAAGACACATGATCTAGCAACTCTGATGAAGCTAGGTTAGTCTTGTCTAGACAGTTCCTTTATTGGGGACCTTGTGGAAACCTTATCTGTGCCACTCGGGGCCCCACGGAGGAATAAATAAATTAATGTAAGACCCCTAGCATGAAAAAGGCCCCTGTCAAATGAAAACGTGGCATAAGGACATAAAAAGAGCCCTGCTGGATCAGACCAGTGAGGGTCCACCTAGTCCAGCATTCTGTCTCACACAGTGGCCAGTGGGGGGAGGGGGCTCCAACAACAAAGTATAGAGGCCGAGGCCTTCCCCTGATGTTGCCTCCTGGCACTGGGATTGAGGGGCTGACTGCCTGTGAGCATGGAGGTTACCTTTAGTCACCATAGCTAGTATCCACGGATACACCAACCCTCCATGAATCTATCTAATCCCCTTTTAAAGCTTTCTGTGCCTGTGGCCATCACTACATCTCGTGGCAGTGAATTCCACATTTTAACCACTCTGTGTAAAGAAGCATTTCCTTTCGTCCATCGTGAATCTACATGCATGTTTTGCATTTGTGTGTATAGATATGTAGGTATAGATATCCCAGAGTGTAGCTACTCTGTTGTAGCGAAACAAGCACTATTCTGGTTACGCTTTATTTTTTTGCAACATACTTGTTTATGTCACAATCAGTTTCAGTCTTGAAGGTGTTGTGAGATCTATCGATTGATCTGCATTATATATAGGTTGCGATCACACGCGCCTTTAGGTCCGACATAGGTGCAAATGCCTGATGGATCTAAAGGGAGCAATCAGACAGCAACATCTGGGAAGCGTTCTGCAGTCGTCGGCAACCTGTGCTGCTCCGCCGCAGAAGCGGAGTTAAAAGACACCGGGGAAAGTCTGGCTCTAACAGGTTCTGATGGGCCACGGACAGACTTTCCTGTCTGATCATGTAAGCATGCTCACATGCCATCAAGATGGTCTGATCATGCCATCCTGGCTTGGTGCCATTCCCCCCCCCTCACAGTATGCGCATCTTCACATACTCCATAGGGGGCCCACAGTGTGGAGGTGCGATTCCCCATTTATGCGCATGGGAAACAAATGGCAAAAAAAATAAAGACTCACCTACAGTTGTGTCTGATCACACAGTGACTGCATGTCAAATTCCTCCGGAGGAAATAGCCTCACTTCCCCTCCACTTCAACTGGCGTGTGTGACCGCAGCCATAGTCCGCCTTTCTCAGAGGGTCTCAAAGTGGATTATACAGAGTGAGTCAGGACAACCAACAAAATATTCAGTAACCAATGCATTAGAATTTTAGAAGTACAGAACCACCAGAAAGAACTGAAGCATAGCATAAGTATTCACGTGACACATTAAAGTGGTACAGAAATTACTTAGTAGGACCCTACTTACACTAAAGGAGCTGCGGTGGCTCAAGTGGTTAAGACGCTGAACTGCAGGCTGTGGAAGGTCAGTAGTTCAGCAGTTTGAGACCCGAGTTGCCACATGATGGAGTGAGCTCCCGTCTCTAGTTCCAGCTCCTGCCAACCGAGCAGTTCGAAAGCAAGACATTGCAAGTAGATAAATAGGTACCACTTTGGTGGGAAGGTAACAGCGTTCCGTGCACCTTGGTGTTTAGTCATGCCGGCCACATGACCACAGAAATGTCTTCGGACAGCGCTAGCTCTTCGGCTTTGAAACGGAGATGAGCACCGCAACCCTAGAGTCGGACTCGACTGGCTTTTGAGCAAGGGAACCTTTACCTTTACTTTACTTACACTAAGTGATACACAGCAGTATAGACCACAGTCCCAGTCATTTCTCCATTTTGGGCAGTGTAACCTGTTTACCCGCACAGAACAGCCCTCTTGAATAGTTTCAGTTTTGCATAGTTTATGGAACACCGGGAGAGTGGGAGCTTTCCTGACCTCCTCGGGATCCACAATGGAGAAAGCCTGTGTACGGGCAGTTCTTGATTACGTGTACGGCCTAGTTGCAGTTCGGCACCTGCAGAAGCCCCTGCTGACAGGAGTGAAGTAGTTATGGTAGAGCTTAGGGAGCGATATTTCAGTCTTATGATTCCCTCTAATAGCA